GGGCAGTATTTAAAAAACTGAGAATGTGTGTGGGTTGGAGAGATGACTCAGTGTTTAAGAGCATTGGCTATTCTTGCAGAAGATCCAGGTTTGATTCCCAGCACCCACATGGCAGCTAACAATCATCAATAACTTCAGTTCCAGGGAATCTGATGCCTTCTTCTGGCCTCTGTGGGCATTGCACAACATGGGTGCACTTACATACATGTAGACATAACACTCATACACATAAAATAAATAAACAAATTTTATTTTATTTTGTTTTTTTAAAAAAATATATTTTATTTATTATTTTTATTTCATGTATATGAGTGTTATGCCTGCATGTAGGTAAATGCACCCATGTCATGCAGTGCCTTTGGAGGACAGAAGAGGCTGTCAGATCCCCTGGAACCAGAGTTACAGACATTTGTTAGCTGCCATGTGGGTGCTGAGATTTGAACCCCTGTTTTCTGCAAGAATAGTCAGTGTTATGGCTGAGCCATCTCTCCAGCCCTATTTTGGTCTTTTTGAGACAGGGTTTCCCTGTACCCCAGCTAGCCTGGAACTCGCTATGTAGACCAGGCTGGCCTTGAACTCACAGAGATCCACTTGCCTCTGCCTCCCGATTGCTGGGACTAAAGATGTGTGCCACCATGCCTGGCACAAATTTTAAAAAATAAAAAAGTAAGTTGGGCATGGTGGCACATGCCTTTGATCCTAGCACTTGGGAGGCAGACACAGGTAAATCTCTGTGAGATTGAGGCCAGCCTGGTCTCCATAGTGAGTGGTTAGGTTAACTTGGAATGCTCTGCCCCCATCCTTTAAGAATTTTAACTTGGGCAGGGCCTTTAATCTCAGCACTTGAGAGGCAAAGGCAGATGGATCTCTGTGAGATCAAGGCCAGCCTGGTCTACATAGTGAGTTTCAGGCCAGCTGGAGCTACAATGAGACCCTGTCTCAAAAAAAAAAAAATACAAGACTAAAGTCAAGAGGTACTGTAGAGATAGCTTAGTGGTTAAGAACGTTCTCTGCTCTTCCAGAGAACTAGAGTTAGGTTCCTAGCACCCATGACAAATGACTCACAGCCACTATAACTCCAGCTCCAGGGGATTTGATGCCCTCCTCTGGCCTCCACAGGCACCTGCATACTTGTGGCATACACTTACACAGACACACACACACACAGACACACACACACACACACACACACACACACATACACAAAAATAAAAATATAAATAAATCTTTTTTAAAAAAAGCCAAGAGCTGGTGAAATGACTCAGTGGGTAAAGTGCTTGCTGCCAAGCCTGATGACCTATCCTCAGACTCCACATGGTAGAAGGGAAGAATAACCCCTGGAGTTATCCTCTGACCTCCACAGGTGTGCTATGGCACGTGTATACCACCCCCAAGTAAATAAATGTAATTCAAAAATATTTTTATTATGCCAAGGGCTAGCAACATGGCTCAGTGGATAAAAGCAGTTGTTGCACAAGTCGTGACTTTAATTTTTTAAAAAATATTTTACTTATTTTTATTTTATGTGTACGAGGGTACCTGTGTTGTGAAAAGACCCTAGAGGTCAGAAGAGGGGATGGGCACCCTGGACCTGGAGTTATGGACCGTTGTTAGCTACCATGTGGAACTAGGTCTTCTGCAAGAGCAGCTCTTAACCACTGAACCATCTCTCCAGCCCCATGACCTGAAATTTATCCTCTCACCTCTACACACACATCCCCAATAATAATAATAGTAATAATAATAAAAATTGTTTGGTCTTTTTGTTTAAGAAAGGGTGTCCCTGTAGCCATAGCTAGCCTGGAACTCGGTAGACCAGGCTAGCCTCGATCTCACAGACCTGGAGGAAATGGGCCTCTGAAGGTGAGTCCTTGAGGTCTGCGCCTTGCCCTGCCCCTTTTTATATTCTTTCTCTGCTTCCTGGCCACTAAGAGGAAGGATCTCCTTTGCCACATGCCTCTCCACTATATACATGGACTGAATCCTCTGAAATCATGAGCTGAAATAAATCTTTCCTCCTTTAAGTTGTTCTCCTGAGTATTTTGGTTACAGCTATGCAAGAGTAACTAAAACACTGTACTTTCTAAATCTTCTGATTGTGTTTCATAGCATATTATGTTGACTCCACTAAATTATGCATGAGTAAACTTATGTAGGTGAAATGTAACAGCTAGAACACAACTAGGACGTCGACACAAAAAGATACACTGGAAAACTCTAGTACCCTCTGGAACAGAGTATGTTGCTAAGAGGCTCAAGGACATTTTGACCTTTAGCCAATAAACTGGCTACTTTTCTTTTCTTTTTACCCTAACTGCCTAGCCAATTTCTACATCCTATTCTTAGCACACCATCTTCTGAAGAGGTTACCCAAATTGCCAATAGGGGATAGGGACACAGACCGCTCTGGCTTCTTCCATGCTGAACAGGGACACAGGGTGAGGCAACTGGAGTACCCCTTCAGTGGGTCTATCTAAAAGACTCCCAAATTGCATAACTCTTATCTCTAAGGGGAAAAGGAAGTCCTTGAATTGTAAATAGGAGATGTGAAGAAGTAAAGGCAAGAGTAGTTAGCATTACAAGTTCCAGACAGGGAACCAGAAAAAAGTCAGAACAGGGCAAATTTCAAATGTTCATATCAGAGTCCATTGGAATTTCTTGATGAGAGCTTCCAAAAGCATCCCTCTATTGGGTTCCTCCACATTTTTCTTTTGTCTGCTAAGACTGGACTCAAGAATGATGAACTCAGGATTTGTTTTCAGGCACTTTGATATTTGTTGGAGTGGCTAGAATCAGTGTCAGTTCCCTCACAAATGCTTCTAGATAGGGGGAGAAAACAAATTTAGCCATTATTTTAGAATAATAATGGCTTGTCTCCCTTAGCTACAGGTGGGCACTACAGCAACGTACTCTGTTCCAAAGGCCAAAAATGTCTAAAGTATTTGGGAGCTCTTATCTAATCCCTAAAAGATTTTATCATTACCTCTTCAGGGGGAGGAATGTTAGAGCAGCAAAAAAACCCCATCTAAAAAAGAAAAAAAAAAAAAAGAACACAAAGTTGTTCAGGGAAAAGTGATGAGGAGATATGGGAGGCGTTGGAGGGGAGGGAGTGAGCATGATCCAAACACCTTACATGCATGTATGAAATTCTCAATAAATTTTTTTAAAGTTAAAAAAAAAAGAAAAAAAGAAAGCAGACTGAACACGGGCCAGAGGAGCAAGCCAGTAAGTAATGTTCCTCAGTGGTTCGTGCTTCAGCTCCTCCTCCAGGTTACAGCCCCGAGTTCCTACCCTGACTTCCCTGATGGTCTGTACTGTAAGCCAAATAAACCCTCCCTTCCCCACTGCAAAAAAATGGCACCCTCGAAAGGCTCAGGTGTTGAAGGTTTGGGTGCCGGTTGGTGGCACTATACAGAGGCGATGGGATCATGAGGACACTGATGAATTTGTACCTGAATAAACTATTAAAACATGGGGCCTGGTTGGAGGAAGTAGGTGACTGGGGCTGTGTCTTTGCAGTGTTCGCTGGCTCTTTGGTCTCTTCTTATCTCTTTCTGGTTCTCTGCTACCATGAGGTACACAGGTTTGCGCTGCTATGCCCTGATCACCATGCTATTCAGCCTTGCGCCATGGCAATGGGATCAAGCAACCAGATTGAAACCGCTAAACCATGAGCCAAAATAAACCTTCCCTCCTTTATACTGTTTTTCTTAGACACTTTGTCACAGCACTTGGAAAACTGACTAGCACACCCACAGGAAGGCAAGAAATCTGAAATAGGAATGAAAAACAGAGGAATGAAAATAAAACTGGGGCTCGAGAGATGGCTCAGCAGTTAAGAGCACCAACCTGATCTTGCAGAGGACCAGGGTTTGATTGCCAGTACCCACAACCATCCATAACTCCATTTCCAGGGGATCTGATGCCCTCTTCTGACCTTCACCGGAATTGCATGACATAGGTACACTTAAATGCAGGCAATACACTCATACACATAAAATAAAATAAAATAAAAATAAAAATTTTTAAAAATAAAACAAAGAATAAAATAGCATGCTTATTATATTATCATATTAAATTTTGTTCCCAGCACCCACATGGCAGTTCATGACTCCCTGTAACTCTAGTTTCAGGAGATCCAATGCTCTCTTCTGGCCTCCTCAGGTACCAGGCACACACGTAGTACATATTCATACATGCAGGCAAACACTCAAACACATAAAATTGAAATAAATCTTTTTTAAAATAAAAGAAAAAGAATGGCAGCAGAGGAAAAGAGCGGGTGATAATAAAGGATAGTACCATGCATTTTGTGGTGATGGATCAGTCTGGATCTTGACTGTGGCGGTGCATGTGCTAACTCTAAATACACATGCAAAATGAATGCATATAAAGTAGTGAGATCTGAACTGGAGATGGTATAGCTCATTGGTGGAGCGCTTGCCTAGCATGTACAGTTTCAGTCTGTGGATAATGTCTGTGGATGGTACCAATGTTAATTTCTTGGTTTTCATATTGTGTTATAGATATATAAGAGGTTACCCATTGGAGAAAGCTAAATCAAGTACGCAGGCCATATGTGATGGGATATGCCTCTAATCCTAGGCCTTGGTAGCAGAAGCAAAAGGATGAAGAGTTCTAAGCCACAGGCTGGAGAGATGGCTCAATGGTTAAGAGCACTTGCTGCTCTTGCAGAGGACCCAGATTTGGTTCCCAGCACCCACATGATGGCTCCCAACCATTTGTAACTCCAGTTCCAAGGGATCTGATGCCCTTTTCTGGTCTCCACGGCCACCTGGCATCCATTGGTGTACATATATACATGCGGGCAAACACTCATACACATAAAATAAAAACAAATAATCCTTTAAAAAAGAGTTCTAAGCCGGCCTGGGCTACAAGGTGAAACCTTACCTCAAAATGAAGCACTGGGATCCTCCAGTCCTCTCTACATTTGCAGTGTAGCTGGAGCCAGTGCGTGCAGAAGGAACTCAGGAGTCATGCTGAAGCCACACAGTGAGGCAGGGACTGCCTTCATTTAGCCCACCAGCCGCGGGCAGTCATGGCTGACACATTCCTGGAACATGTGCCACCTGGACATTGACTCTGTACCTATCAAGGCCTGTAACACCAGCATCATCTGCACTGTTGGTCCTGCTTCCCATTCAGTAGAGATGCTGGAGATAATTAAGTCTGGAGTGAATGTGACTGGTCTGAACTTGTCTCATGGAACGCATGAGTACCATGTGGAGGCCATCAAGAACCTGCACACAGCCACAGAAAGCTTTGCATCTGACCCCATTCCCTACTGGCCAGTTGCTATGCCTCTGGACACTAAGGGACCTGAGATCTGGACTGGGCTTATCAAGGGCAGGGGTAACCCTGAGGTGATGCTGAAGAAGGGAGCCACTCTGAAGATCACACTGGATACCCCTACATGGAAAAGTGTGATGAGAACTTCCTGTGGCTGGACTACAGGAACATTTGCAAGATGGTGGAAGTGGGCGGCAAGATCCACGTGGATGACGGGCTTATTTCACTGCAGGTGGAGGAGAAAGGTGCTGACTTCCTAGTGACCAAGGTGGAAAGTGGTGGCTCGTTGGCAGCAAGAAGCGGGTGAACCGTCCCGGGGCTGCTGGGGACCTCCCTGCTGTGTCAAAGAAGGACATTCAGGACCTGGAGTTTGGAGTGAGGCAGGATGTAGACAAGGTGTGTCTTTCATCCGCAAGGCAGCCGATGTGCATAAAGTTAGGAAGGTCCTGGGAGAGAAATGGAAGAATATCAAGATTATCAGCAAAATCAAGAATGATGAAGGAGTTCTCAGGTTTGACGAGATCCTGGAGGCCAGTGATGGATCATGGCGGCCCGTGGTGATTTAGGTATTGAGATGCCTGTAGAGAAGGTTTTCGTTGCTCAGAAGATAATGATTGGGCGAAGCAACCAAGCTGGGAAGCCTGTTGCCACACAGGTGCTGGAGAGCATGATCAAGAATCCCCGCCCGACCCGGGCTGAGGTCAGTGATGTGGCCAACGGAGTCCTGCATCATGCCGTCTGGAGAAAACAGCCAAAGGGGACTATCCTCTGGAGGCTGTGCACGGGTAGCACCTGATGGCGGAGAGGCAGACGCTGCTATCTACCACTTGCAATTATTTGAAGAACTCCGCCGCCTGGCGCCCTTTACCAGCGACCCCACAGAAGCTGCCCCATAGGTGCGGTGGAGGGCCTCCTTCAAGTGCTGCAGCGGGGCCATTATCGTACTCACCAAGTCTGGCAGGAGTGCTTACCAGGTGGCCAGATCCACCCACGTGCTCCCATCACTGCTGTGACACATAATCAATCCCCAGATAGCTCACCAGGCCCATCTGTACCATGGCATCATCCAACAATGCGCTTGTAAGGATGCAGGCCAGGAGGCCTGGGCTGAGGATGTAGACCTCCAGGAGAACTTGGCCATGAATGCTGGCAAGGCCTGAGGCTTTTTCAAGAACGGAGATGTCATTGTGCTGACCAGGTGGAGCCCTGGCTCTGGTTTCAGCAACACCACGCCGTGTAGTGCCTGTGAAGCAATGGTTCACTGGAGCCCCTCTTCCAGCCCCTGTCCCATTCCCTTCCCCCAATCCATCCATTAGGCCAGCAAGGCTTGTAGTGCTCACTCTGGGGTGTAGTGTGACACTGGTGGGCTGGACACCAGGGAAAATGTATGCCTCTGTGAAATACAGCTCAGAGTCCACCTGTCCATCGTGTAGCCCTGTCCAAGCCAGGGATGAAGGAGGAATGCAGGGCTGGAGGCCCTCTGAGGTTATCACAATAGGGCAGCAACATCTCTGTGTATTTTGTCCCTGTAGAAAGTGTTGTCCAGAGAACTCCCTCTAGGCCCTGGCCTAGAGTCAGGAGCCAGCCAGCAAGGGTAGGGGCTTAAGGCATAAGATCAAGGTTCCGGTGTAGATAGCCTTTCGCCTTGGCCCATACCTGCTTCCCCAACACCTCAGCCTCCCCCCTTCCTCCTTGTGCACTGGGCACTTCTGTTCCTGCACTTT